CCGCTCACTGGCTGAGCGAGGTGCGGCCGCAACACCGAGGGTTGCGATCCCGTTGCCGGTCCCGGTCTGGTACGGGCGCGACACTGAGGGTTGCGATCCGTTGCCGGACACGAAAAAAAGACAAAAAGGGAAAAAAAAAAAAAAGAAATAATTTAGACTATTTTGTCTCTTACATAGTACAGTGCTTTTGCCAAGTTAGTAGTTTAAGAGTAGTATTTGTTTCTTACTAGAATGTATAGGCCTTATTCTTTGACTTTTGTATTTGAAGAAGAAATGGGTTTAAATTTAATGAAGTCATAGTGTTTATTGCGAGAATAGTATGGCGGAGCAGTTTTTTTAGACTGTGTGGTCATGAAACACAGGATGTGAAAACAATTTGGCGTTTTTCAAGCAGCATTTTTCTTTTTTAAGTAGATTGGAGTAGAAAAGATCAGAGTGCATCCAACGTAGAAAGGGCCAATATTGTATTATAAAACTTGTGTTTTAGGTACATGTGTACATGTTAGAACACAAGGTAAAATCTATTTCTTAACCTAAACTGTGGTCAAAAAGTTTAGAAGCTTGTAAGCTCTTGCTCTAGAGCTGCAAGACTCAGGCAGTTTTAATTGGCCGGTCCCAAATATTTGTTTATGCACATGTACTGCTGAACAAATGTTACATACATTAAAAAACATTAACAAAAATTTGGTATTTACAAGGATAAGAAAATATTTAAGTCAAAGTTATAAAATATTTTCCCCCACATCTTGTATTTTGTACCACCCTATTTTGGTGGTCACTGCTTTAGAGTTCCTTTCGTTCAACCACCTTATTTTATGAATAAAACTGAAAAGTAGGTGGAGTGACTTAACATAGTGTAGTGGATTAAATGTGAGGAAGAAAAGAATTTCGGACCGTGGATTGAGACTAGATAAGGTATAGAAAGGTGTTAAATATCCTTTATTAAGATACCTTTAAGAATGAAAATGGTGTCCATATAATGATGTCCATTATTAATGGAGATGAGTTTTTCATGTTATCTCCATTAATAATGGACATCATTGACCAGGTTGGACTTTTAAAATCCCATGTCTTTCAAACTACTCAGGGTTTTATACTTTTGTTTTCTGTTTGAAAACTAGAGTTTGTAAAGATTGATTTCAAAATGCCTGAAAAGGGGGGAAATGCAAAGACTAGTAATTTCTTGAACTAATGTTTTTAATATGGAATAAAATGATATAATTATATATCGAAGAATAGTAGTCTGTATTAAGCCTTATTTTGGAGAAACATTTAAAGTCTATGAACATACTGATGGGTAAGGATATTTTGGTGTTCATTTTTTTCCACTTTGCCAAAATGGCTAAAGGAAACAGTTCGCAGTAACTGAAAGCTTTTAGCGTTATAACAAAGGTGGATTTTGTATATTATCCGCTATCAGTGTTCTTTGGGCCTGAAACAGGGATGATGTTACTATTTTTTCTTCAGAGAATGAGGAGAGATAGGCCTTCACATGTCATCATTTCTCTTAATTAACCCACAGACATGTTATCTAGGAGTGAATTTGGACCTTTTTTAGCCTTATTTATTATGGAAATTTCTGCCATATACAAAGTAAACAGATGAACCCCATGTTCCACTCAACAACTATCATCCTTTCGCCATTCTCATTTCTTCTAAACCTTCCCCTACTCTCCTGTCATTGCTCGACTATTATTTTTTGTTTCGTTTTTGAATAAGATTTATGTACTTCGAGATGCGTAAATTTTAAGCATTAAATTTTAACGAATAGGTACATTGATGTACTCCGTACGCCTATCAAGATATGTAATATGGAACTTTTTAATAAAAATAGTATTTAAATCTTCAGTCTGCAATTTATTGCGACAATGAAATTCAGTCATTTTCTACTGATTTGTGAAGTGGTTCTTTGTAGTTATGCTCAATTTAATTCTCAAGCTTCAGATAGACTGCTCATTCTTTCTAAGTCCACATTCACCTTATCTTTAACCATCATTATTTTCTAGACTTCTCAGCCTATAACCTTGTTTTTATCCTCCTGGCATTTACTGTCACCTACCCTCTTGAGTACTCTTAATTGCCTTCCCCTGGACCAGCTCTGGTTCTGTTACAGCAATCATTAACAAACATAGGTAAATATACATCACCACTAGCCTTACCACTACTTTCTTCTTTAATTGAGGAAAATTTTAGGAGTATAATTTGCTTATTATAGACTCAGTAAATTAATCAAACAATGCATAAGTATGTAAAATAGGAAATGAAAGGCTCTCTTTATCTTCAATTCCATTTCCCAGAGATAACTTCTGTTAACAGTGAGTCATATCTTTCTAGATTTTCTTTGTGCCTGTACTAATTTATTTACTTTTTTCTCCCACACAACAGGAACATTCTTTATCTGAATAATTTGCTTTGTCTGTATATATTGTTCCAAGAGTGTGTCTTCTTAAGTGATATTTTATTTTGCTTAGCATTTATACCCCAAAACTATTTAAAATAATTTTTTTCTTCTAGAGGAAAGGGTCAAAGCAATGTTTCTTTGTTTCATAAAGTTAACATCTCTTCTTTTAACACAGTGTTCACAAATACAATATTTCCATTTTGTCTCTGCTTTTAATTGTTTCTTTAAACTTAGGTTCTAACATAGCCTACACTTATACCACAAATTAATTAGGACTATCTTTATGTTCCAGTCATTTGCTCAAAATTGCACATGGTTTTGTCTGGGAGCTTGAGACTTGAGAGGACTGGTCTAGATCTGCGCTGTCCAACTTGATAGCCACTAGCCACATGTGCTGTTGAGGGCTTGAAATGTGGCTAGTCCGAATTGTGATGTGCTGTAAGTGTAAAATAACACCCCAGATGACTCAATACCAAAAAAAAGTAAACTATTTCATTAATAATTTTTATATTGCTTACATGTTTGAAATGATAATATGTTGGATATGTTAGGTTAAATAAAATGATTATTAATTTCATCTGTTTCTTTTTGCTTTTTAATGTGGCTAATAGAAAACTTTATATTTGTGACTTAGATTATATTTCTATTGGACAGTGCTGGTCTAGATGGCAGAATATATAAGGAAAAAATACTTTTATTTTGAAATGTATGAACTTTTATATGCTTCCCAATTATAAATTGGCAGCAAACTAGTTTGTGATTTTCATTTTTGGTAGTGATGATATCAGGGTATAAATATTATCACAGAATGTTCTGAGAAACTGTTCTGCCAGTTTTTCTTGCTAGATAAAATCTTTATTCTCAGGTTTTATAATGACTTACTTAACTGAAAATAAGCACTTCCTTGATAGAAATTTGTACTTGATTTCAAGAATCAAACTTTTGGGCCTCTACTAAAAAAAGTTTATTAGAAAGGCTTCAAAGGTCTATTTTTGGCTTATGTCTTATCAAAGAATTTATAGTAAATATACTTATTCTCTATATACTTTAATATTCTGAGTTTATTAACAGCAAGAACTCCAAAGATTAGGCTAGAGTTACAAATATTCATAGGAAATGCATAATGCAAATGTAAACTCTACATGTAAAAGATTTTTCTCTATCTACCTTTAATAGGGAAATTCAGTTTAACAAAAAGGTTAATTCAGTTGTTTTTCTGTATGATTTCTAAGATAAGTATATAATTTTCCACAAACATATTATTTTAAACAAAGTTAATGAAACTCTCATACAAGAAAATTTCTTGATTTTTTTTTTTAGTAAAGAGTTTAACAGATGAATTTAATGATGTGATATAAGAATAGCAGTATACTGCATTTTTGTATTGTCCATGGGAAGGACTGCTAGGCACTCAGTGTCTGAAAAAGAAGAATCAATTAGAATATAAAACCTGATTTTGATTTTTAAAATTTTTTCTTAGAGTTTTATTAATCAAGATAAACGAGAAGAAAGAGACGAAGATAAATCTAAATCATTTATGCAGAAATATGAGCAAAAAATCAGACATTTTGGTAAGTCTGCTACTTGAGTTTCCTTCTTTGTAATGTTTGGTATCATATGTACGTGTGCAAAAAATGGATTATAAAATGGGAATCAAAAACAGGATAAGTGACAAACTCCAGTTGTATAGCTACTTCTGATACAGTTGTACAGATAATTTTTTAGGCTTTTTTTTTGGGGGGGGGGTCATAAATAAAATAGATTGATAGAACAAACCAAATTGTGAAGAGAAACAAAATTCAATCTGTTGTTTTATAATACTACCCTCAACAGTCTTGTTTGTTCCATAGCCTTTTTTCAAATTGACTAGTTTTTACTTTTTTCTTTTTCCTCTTTGCTTCCTTGGTATCTGATTATCTGTGGTCAAAAGATTAGCTTTCATTTTTTTCAGGTTTTGGATATGATTCTGTATAATTCAGTCAGATCACTTGAATTGTTATTCAGATAATACTGTATAGTAATAAAAATGTATATACTGTACAAAGAACTGAAAAAATAGTTTTTTCTGTTGGGGAAAAAGGATGAAATGAGGGTCAGTGTAAGTGAAGGATTCCCAAAGGAGGTAACTTGAGCTTGATTATGAGGAACAGACAGGAGTTTTTCATGTAGATAAGGGAGGCAAATAACACGTAGAAAGGCAGAGCCAGGAAACACACGGTGTGTTCTGAGAGTTATAAGCAGTATGATGCTGCTGGAGTGAAACTGCTAGTGGGAAGTGTTTTGGAGTTAAGGTTCAAAGGATATTTTTTTGATCCCATGTAATATTAATTTAGTAAATATGTTTTTTATTTGGAGTATGTTTATGACCTTTTTAAATGGCATTTTGAAGTCTTACTCCTTTTGGTGTTTTTTCCTTCCAAATATTTAGAATTTCATTTGTGCCTCAGTTATATCGAGACAATGAGTATTACTTTCAATTTTTTCTCTTCCTTCTTTGAAAATTATTTGTAAAGTACTCATTTTTCTCATACTTTTTATTTTCAAAAAAGAAAAATAGACTGTGTATTTAATTCAAGCATAGTATCTGAAGAAATAAACATAGACAAAGTTTCTTTTTCTACATATTATCATTGTGGTATTATTTATAATAGAAAAAGATGGGGCTGGCTGGTTTGCTCACTTGGTTAGAGGACGATGTTGATAACACCAAAGTCAAGGATTCAGATCCCCATACCAGCCAGCTGCCAAGTAAAAAAAAAAGAAAAGAAAATAGAAAAAGATGAATAAACTGTCCTCTGTTGGGTAGATATTAAAATCTTTAAATGAGCAGAGCCTTGAGTTATAAGGATAAAAGGCAAAAATTATGCAAATAAGTTGTGATATATGAGGTGCTGCTCCCCTTTGCTTCCTAGGCCCATGTGTTCTGCTGTAGGGAAAAAGTACCATATATACATGTTACTCTTTCAGAGGAGGTACTGCATCTGATGGAACACCATCCCTCAAGGTGTTTTCACCCATCTGGCATTCTATAGGCTAGTTGCTTTGGTGCCATAGTAAACCTACTAGGTAAGAAACAGTTCCTTCACTTTTGCTGTAAACTGAGTGCTTTTGTCTAAAGCAGTTTTGTGTGGGAAAATATCTTAACCTCATAAGGTATGGTAACCCATCTGACACTAAAACTAAGTCTTCAATAAACCATTTCACCATTCCAGAAAACCTGCTGCTTTGGGGTAGTGCTGATCATGGTAAGACCAGTGAATTCTATGAGCTCAGTCTTCATTTCTTTTGGGGTAAAATGAGTTTCTGGGTCAAAAAATAATGTGGTATGGTGAATAATTCATTTAGTAAGATCACAGATGTATTACTGGTAGAGCATGGCAAGGAGGGAGGGCAATTCCGGTTCTAGAATGTGCTTGTTCAAGTGAGGAATTACTGGTCCCTCTGAGATGAAATGGGACCAAGATAATCAACCCGCTGCTTGATAGCTGGATGGTCTTTCCAGTGAATAGTGCCATACAGAAGTTTTCACATCGGTTTCTGCTACTGGCAAATTAGGTATTTATTGACTAAACTGGATTGGGATATTGGAACATCCTTGATGGGGAGAGTCTGTGCTGTTGAATCTGTGCATAATCTCAAGCTGGAGTCCCTCTGACCTCTTTGTGAAACTACTGTACAAGTAACAAGATAGCTGAGGGAAAAGGCTGACTTGACACCCACAGGTGATTAATAAACAATCATTCTGCCATTGTATGTTGTGAGCTTCCAATATTTCGTATTGTAATACTAACCAGAGCCTTGTTGTCTTCAAACCCAACCACATCTGAGAGCCATTTCCAGGTTCACATTGTGCCTGTTTTTTAGTGGAAATACATATTGACTTTTTACTTTGAAGGAGATATCCTACTTGCTGTAGCATACTGGATCCCAGAAATGTTACTAAAGTAGAGGGCCCCCCAAATTTTCGTGTGTTTTATTTCCCACTCTCTGGCGTGCATGTATCTTACCAAGACATCTGGGGTACCTGCTACTTCCCGCTCACCAGCTTCCATCAGTGTAGAGTAGACCGACTTGCAGTCATGTGAAATGATGAGATAATCAAAATCCCTGTGGACTAAATCATGGCAGAGTTGATAGAGGCCTGAGGCAAGATGGTGAAAGTTCTATGCTGTCCTTGCTTGGTGGAAGCAAATGTTTCTGGTGTTGTATGCTTATTGTGTTAAAGAAAAAAAGCATTTGTCCAAATGATGACTACATTGATATATTCCTTTTAAACATATCTGAAACAGCAGCTGTAATTAAAGCTTTCAGCTGGAGGTTTTCCAAACTTGGATTGCATTCCACACACTTGGAACACATGGGCCTGGTGTATGGGGGGCTCTGTAGGGCTGGAAGGACTTCATACAAGTACCTCTTTGTTGTCCTACATGAACTTATAGTCTTCAGAGTTCTTCCTAACTTTCTCTTAAGGTATTTGTTGGCCAACTACCTTTTGTGTGTTGCTTTTACCCTTGTAATTAGATGGAATCAACCGTCTAATGGTAAACGGTACAACTGTATCATGAAGTATTATGAAGCACTGAAATCTAATTTCCTACATTTGTATTTATCAATTTAGTTAATTCACATTTTAAAAATATAAAATATTAATTTAGAAACAAAGTCTGTTTTCTCTTAAATTTCTCTGGACAGTTTTATTCAAAGTTACATACATCTTTGACATCACTGTCTTTATGATCATCAGAGCTGTGTTTTGAATCATCTAACACAGTATTTCAGAGCACATCATTTTCACTTCCAGGCAAAGTTAACTGTGATTCAGCATTTTTTGAATCTTTGTAGAATGTCACTGGAAATTTTATCAAAAGCTGTAAACATTTGTGCAAATGCTTTGTACTGAAGATAAATATTTACAACCTCTTCAATGTAATTACTTATGTATTGCTTTTTAAAAACATATTGATATCCTGTTTTTGAAAAACATTTAGTATGAAGTAATCTTAAATGGAATATGAAGTAAAATGAATGGAAAATTATATGTATGATACGATTTTAATTTCATTTCTTTAGAAGTCATTAAAAAATAAGCCTGGAAAGAAATATATCAAAATGTTAACAATAATTATTTTTTTGTGGTAGAATAGGAAATGATTTTTATTTTCTGGATTTTTCAAATTCCTCACAATGAGTACACTTTATTTTTATAATCTGAAAAAAATATTTTAAAGGGTTTATTCTAAGAATTCAAGAAAATATATTAATGCGATTCACTGTATTAACAGACTATAGTAGTATAACCATAGGATTTAGTGATCAATTTGATGTGAGAAAAATGGAAATGTCAGAGGAATTTCTCGAATGCTTGATTGGGCAACATGGAGCCTAGGAAACATTATAGGATGGCTGAGAGAGAAGGATGGGTTAGGTTTCAAATAAGATGAGTTTTTGTGCAGGAATGTAGTTGTCCAGAAGTAGATGATTGGAAATACAGGAGATCTGGGAGCTCAGGAAATATAGGAAAAATGGTCATGTATCTTTCCTCAGGGAATTCACAACCTAACTGGGAGATTTTTAGCATATAGAGAAATTAAAATGAATGGTGTATATTTTTTTTGTCCCGCTTCATTGCCCCCAGACCTGAATAGTGTAATTTAAAGTGTTAAAATGCATCATTTTATACGTGTAATGCAGGGAGGAAAGGGAAATAAATATGCACACGTATATTTGGGGACCATTTTAGGAATCAGGTGGAATACTGAGAGTTCATGGACGGATTGAGATTTAGATGTACATCAGGGAAATACATAGGTTAAAGGATATACTTTAAATATTTTAATTTATCAGAGTGAGGTTTTTGTTTTTCTTAACCATTTGGAGAAATTGGTTGGCTAGTTTAAATGACTAGATTATCCTTAACCAGAGCACTAGCTTAATAAATATTTGTTGAATGAATGACTTGTTCACTATTATGTTAATAACCTATTTATTGAGTATTTACTATGTGTCAGGCACTAAATGCTTTATATGAATTAATATAATTTAATCATCACAAAAGTTCTGTGATAGGTATTATTTTTAACCCTATTTTACAGATGAGGAAATGGAGACATAGAAAGAAACTTGCCGAAGGTAGTAAGTGGTAAAGCCAATATTGGAATTTAGGCGGTTTAGCTCTAGAGTTTGTCTTCTAAGCCATCATGCTAGCTTGTGTTACTCTCCAGTTGTTTACAAATTCCAAAATAACATCTGTAATTTCAGGTATGTTGTATTCCACTAAGTTATTGATTTTCTTTAAGTATTTTGTTCATAAAATTCCACACTTTTTCCACAAAGTTCTATATGGACTACCTGTAACTTCTCAGATTTGTACTAATCCGATGTGCCTTTTTTTTTTTTTTAAACAAGACCACTTAGGCTGCATTCTCTCCCTCTTACTCTCCCCAAAGAGTAAGAACGATCATCAATGGCTCATGGCAGTTACAGCAAAGCAATTCTTGCACAGGAGAGAACACTGTGCCTCCTCCTCCTTGTGGTTTTCAGTGCTCTGAACGTTCAGAGAAATTTCTCTAGTAACGAACTATAGAAATGTTCTGCGAAATTATAGTCTTTCAGTGTGCATTTTTGAAATCAAGTAATGACAAGTATTCTCAGATAAAGAAAATTTATGTTCAATCTCAAGTGTTAATCTTGTCTCGAGTAGTTAAAAAACTTTAGTGTTTAATGACACCCTTCCTCATGGCTCCTACAAGTGTCACTAACCCTTTCGTGTTATCCTTCCTGCCAAAGAAACCAAAATGGATAGGATTTTGGTAATTCAGTGAGTCACAGTGCTGCCATGAAGAAGTACACAGAAGCAATGCTCTGTGGATGGTAGGTGGAGTTAAAAATATTACCTCTTGGGCCGGGCCCGTGGCGCACTCGGGAGAGTGCGGCGCTGGGAGCGCAGGAGCGCTCCCGCCGCGGGTTCACATCCTATATAGGGATGACCAGTGCGCTCACAGCGCTCACTGGCTGAGCGAGGTGAGGCCCGTCTCCAAAAAGGAAAAAAAAAAAAAAAAAATTACCTCTCCACAAGTGTAAGAAAGCTGAGGCAAAACTGCTTCATAGGATTTATTTTATGGCTACAGATATAAAAAATAAGAATTATGCTTTTTTTAGATCTGACCTCTAGGAGTCATTAGACTGTTTAACTGTATAGTCATGCACTCCATAATGATGTTTCAGTCAATGATGGACTGCATATATGACTGTGGTCCCATAAGATTATAATACTGTATTTTTATTGTGCCTTTTCTATGTCTAGATGATACACACATACTTACCATTGTGTTACAGTTGCCTACAGTATTTAGTAAACTAACATCCTGTACAGGTTTGTAGCCTAGGAGGAATATACCATATAGCCTAGGTGTGTAATAAGCTATACTATCTAGGTTTGTGTAAGTACACCCACCCTATGATTTCTGCACAACAATGAAATTGCATAACTGTGCATTTCTCAAAACATACCCCTGTCATTAAGCAACACATGACTGTACTATGAGAAGTAGTTCCTTACTTTCGTACTCTGTTTCTTAGAATTCTAAGTGACCTAATTATTGTGTCCAAAGCGTTGGGGATATGGATGTGAGAGCAATCTGGCTGCGATATCCATCACTCCATTGATCACCAGGGTTGATTCTGTTGATCTGGTTGGCTAGGCAGGTGTCCCCTTCCTTCCTCACTGCCTCATGCACATTCCTCCCAAAACTGCGTGCTCAGTTGAAGAGACAACCTTTTCTGATAGAGGGGAGGACTGTTCTTGCATCCAGGGCATATGAATAACTGCATTTCCTGCTAGAACCTCCAAACAAGCTCTCAAAGTGTTGGAGATACAACTTTAAAAAGCTTGTAAAACTTTATGAGAAAATGCTAAAATCTTTTTTCCCCTTTTTTTAGGTGAGGAAAAATCAATCATTTATTTTCACTTGATTCCCATATGTTGCTAACTGTGTATTCTCTGTAAGACATTTGTCTTCAGTTTTTTTCTTTCTTGTGTTCTAATGTGTGATTTAATATATAGGAGTTCATTTTGTGTTTACTGCCAAACAATTGAGCCCTGTAAAATTTCATGATGATTTAGTAACATTCAGACTTTCTTCAATGAATGTAAAGTATCTAAAGCTAACATTGTTATATTGAATATCAAATATAAAGCTGACTGGACAAAGTTAAAAGCTCAATGCTTTGCTGGTTCCATGATTACTTTGTGGTATTGACTTCCACCAAATTTCTTACTAATTTAGATAAAGATGTAGATACACCTTAAGTAGTATTTGGATTCCTTTGATATCTTGAAGCAAAAAGGCAGCCATTTTCAAATATGCTTAACTAATTTTTAAAAGATTGTGTTTAATGTGTATATAAACATATATCACAAGTAAATGGCTAACATGACTAAAATGGTTAAAGTATATTTACTATTATAATACTGACTGCATTGGTTTCCCACACTGTCAACATTTTACCATATTATTTTAGACATTTTTTAATAAATTAGAGGTAATATGGCTTTTCTGAGTCTTTTATTGTCTTTAAGTTTGCTAATAGTAGTTTTTTGATGTTTTGCTTTCTTTCTCATATTTCTAGTAGGAAAAATTCTGTTCTCTGAGTAAATAATATTGACTTTCTTGAAATCCTCTGTAGTCACTCAAACCTAGGATGACCAGCTGACTCAATTTGCCCAGGACTGTGGGTGTTCCAGATGCAGGACTTTTGGCTTTAAACCAGCCACTCTACTTTAGCCTGACCAATTATCTGAAATAAAACTATCTGTGAATTTTGGAAGCTATTTCCAGTCTACTGGGTATTGCTTTAAAGAGCATTATCCCTCTTCATTTGCTCTTTTACCATAATGTATTGCACTGGCAATGCAAATTGTCTTTATAAAGAGACTCATTTTAAAATACCAATTCTTCTGTTATAGGAAGAAAGAAAATATTTGACATTCATGCTTTAATTCTTTTTTTTTTTTTTACAGGTATGTTGAGTCGATGGGATGATAGTCAGAGATTTTTGTCTGACCATCCATACCTTGTATGTGAAGAAACTGCTAAATACCTTATCTTATGGTGTTTTCACCTAGAAGCTGAACAGGTATTGTGGGAACCTTAAGTTTCTGGGAACCTTAGTGAAATTCTGATTTCTTTATTGGTGTTTTGTTTTTTTTACAGTATGTGCTTTAAATGAAAGCAAGAAGGTCATTAAGTGTAATTATAATTTTTTTCAGATCTACTTTAGCTTAATATGGGAATATTTTTGTTTTTTCAGTTAGCATATGAAAACTTTTCTAATATGCTTTCTCTGCCACACCCTCATCTTTCTTGTTCCCATATACTATAATCCTTTTTCTTTTTTAATTGGTTAGAAAGTTATGTTTTAAAAATCCAAACAGTAATTACAGCATTAAATCAAGCAACAGCGTGGTCCCCCTTCAGTTATTCTGGTCCACTTGCAAATAATCAAAACTAAGATACACTGTTTATATGTCTATGTAGTATTTGACTTATAGCTTGTATTAGTCAGTTTATGTTGCTTATAACAAAATACCTGAGACTGGGTGATTTATAAAGAATACGAAATTTATTGCTTACAGTTTCTGAGGCTGGGAAGTCCAAAGTCCATCTGGTGGTGTCAACAGTGACCCAGGGGCTCACATTGGAGATGGTGGAAGCAAAGAGAGCAGGAAGAGAGAGAGAGACAGACTCTCCTCTTCTTTTAAAGCTCTCAGAACCATGCCCCTGACCACCGTTTTAAATCCTTTCACTACTGCATAGTCCTAAATCTAATCACCTCTTCAAGTCTCCACCTTTCAATTACCATAATAGGATTTCTCATCTTAACAGTCACAGTGGGGGCTAAGTTTCTAATACATAAAATGTGGGGAATACAATTAAAGCTTCAGTGAGTTTTGGGGGGACATAATTCAATCCACTACATAGCTGAAGAGAATAAAATCAAAATTACTTAAAAATTCAAAATTTGGGGCCGGCCCGGTGGCGCACTGGAGAGTGCGCCACTTAGGAGTGCGGCGGCGCTCCCGCCGAGGGTTCAGATCCCATGTGGAGACCGGTTCCCACTCACTGGCTGAGCGTGGTGCGGGCGCAACACCGAGGGTTGCGATCCCGTTGCCAGTCCCCGGTACGGGTGCGACACCGAGGGTTGCGATCCCGTTACCAATCAGTAAAAAAGACAAAAAGGAAAAAAAAAATTCAAAATTTGAATCAGTATACCAATTACATGTATTTCTAGAGGCATCTCTTGTAATTTTAATCTATTTATTTTTCAGAAAGGGGCTTTAATGGAACAAGTAGCACATCAAGCTGTTGTAATGCAATTTATTATGGAAATGGCCAAAAACTGTAATGTGGATCCAAGAGGGTGTTTTCGATTATTTTTCCAGAAAGCCAAAGTAAGTAGTTATTTGTTTTGGTTAAATGGGAAGGTTAGGCCTAACTGAGACCTGTTTGTCCCATAGACGTGAAAACAAGCCGTCTAACCAGGATGTTACTGGCTAAATTCTATAGATTTTCTAGTGAAAAGAAAATTTATATTGCCAATTTTATGCTCATTCGGACTTAAAGGAGCTATATGAGAAGCTGTACTATAGCATATATGTGAAATTGAGATCCATTCAAATGGATCATTTAACAAATATTGAGTGCCTACTAATGCAAAGCACAGCTGTTTTGGATGCTGAGGATACAGAGATGAGCAAAATATATACAGTATTCTTCATGTATTGAACTCACAGTTTAATAAGAAGTCAGGCTTTTTTTTTTTTTTTTGTCTTTTGTCTTTTGTCTTTTTTCCGTGTCCGGCAACGGATCGCAACCCTCAGTGTTGCCCCCGTACCGGACCGGGGACCGGCAACGGGATCGCAAGCCTCGGTGTTGCTCCCGCGCCTCGCTCAGCCAGTGAGCGGGAGCCAGTCTGTATGTGGGATCCGAACCCTTGGACGGGAGCGCCGCCGCGCTTCCCAAGTGGCGCACTATCCAGTGCGCCACCGGGCCGGCCCAGAAGTCAGGCTTTTGTAATGAAAAAATAGGAAACAACGTAAAAATTCAACAATCAAAGGAATGGTTTAAAAAACGTGTGGTACATAGAATATTATGCAACCATTAAAATTATATTTATGAAACATTTTTAATGATTTGAGAAAATGCTTATGCTATAAATTCAAAAGAAGTGATACACATTTATATATACAAGACAATGTTAGCCATGTTCAAGAAAAATAGATATGTCCAGAAAGTGTAAGCACCAATTCACAGTCACTAGACTGGTAATAATTTCAATGTTGTCCAAGAAGTAGAGCAGTAAGAACTTGCATTCACTGCTAGTGGGGAGTATAAGTTAGAACATCCACTTTGGAAAATTTCTTAGGAAAGTTTGATGAGTACTTACCTAACACTCAGAAGTTCTTGTAGGTATATACCCTAGAGAGTAGGTTCTCAACATGTGGTCCAGGGACGCTGACGAGTCTTTAGTACCCTCTCAGGAGGCCCTCAGTCAAAACTATTTTCATAGTAATACTAAGATGTTATTAGCCATTTCATTCTCATTCTGTCATGAGTGTACAGTAGAGATTGATTTGGAAGCAGATGTGAGGATCCAGCTATCTTCTGTTAAGCCAGGCATTAGAGAGACTTGCAAAAATGAAAAAAATATGCCACTCTTCTCACTACATTTTTTTGTTTTGGAAAATACATTTTTTTAAAAATAAAAATATATTATTAATGGTAGCATGTAGTGAGTTTGTTATTGTTATTTTTTAGTTAATGTTTTTTAAATTCCCCAGTTTTAATTTCTAACACAGTAAATATTGACAGATATAACCCACATAAACAGAAGCTCATTAGGTTCTTCAGTAATTTTCAAGAGTGTGAAAGAGTCCTGAGACGATAAAGTTTGAGAACTACCACTCTAGAGAAACTCTCATACATGTACACTTGATGCCATAATGTTCACAGTAGAATTGTTCATAATAGTAAAAAGGCTGGGAACAACCCAAATATCTGTCAACAGTAGAATGAATAAATTGTGGTATATTCCTTCAGTAAAATACTAACAAGCCATCAGCATGGGTGAAAAAATAGAGTAAAACAAGCCACAGAGTGATATATCCAGAATCATTTTTTAAAATGTTTTATAAAGTTCATATTTTTAAATATTCTTATAAAGTATCTTTTGTTATAGGCAGAACTAAACAATATATTGTCAGGGGATATATGTTAAGCAGTAAAACTAAAGAAGCAAAGGGATGATCAAGACAAAAGTCACGACAGTAGTGACCTTGGAGAGGGTGGGGGGAATGCTCTTAGGACTGATTTCTAAGGTACTGGTAAGAATCTATTTCCTAATTTATGTGGGTACATAGTGGGCTTTTGTTGAATAAACTGTACATATATATTTTAATGCTATTACACATAGTATACTTTTTAGCACATACAATTAGAAGTTAAAAGGAAATTACCAGAAGTTTAATTTTGGTCATACTTGTATGGGAGAATTATAAATGATTTCCATTTTCTTTTTCATGCACTACAGTGAACATTTCCTTTTATAAACAAAGAAAAAAAATAATTATATTTTTAAATAAAAAAAAAAACTATTAACATGGCAGTAGTTCTACCTTAAAAGCCCTAAACTCTTCTGAAGTGCAACCTAAATAGGAAATTTTTCTGGAACATTAAGAGTTTTAACAAGTAAATGGTTGAGGTGGTGTTTTAGGTAGGCTACTGTTGACTAGTGTAAATTTTTACTTGACATATAGGAATAATAAAAACTGTACTTTCTTTTTTGTCTTACATTAATAGATGTGTTTAAACTGGTGCTTAATAAGATAATGGAACATGGCCAAACTATATATATATATTCTTTGTAATTTACTTTGACAAAATGGAACTGAAAGGCACTGAAATCTTCCATCTTAACATTGTGTTCTTTTTTTTTTTTTGGTCTTTTGTCTTTTTCCATGTCCGGCAACGGATCGCAACCCTCAGTGTTGCCCCCGTACCGGACCGGGGACCGGCAACGGGATTGCAACCCTCAGCGTTGCCCCCGCGCCTCGCTCAGCCAGTGAGCGGGAACCGGTCTGTATGTGGGATCCGAACCCTCGGGCGGGAGCGCCGCCGCGCTTCCCAAGCGGCGCACTTATCCAGTGCGCCACCGGGCCGGCCCTTAACATTGTGTTCTTAATAATGATTTTTTTTAAAGTAAGAAATAATAACTTTGATGGGGTGTTTGCTTTGTGCCAGGTACTGTTCTAAGCACTTTACATATACTAACTCATTAAATTCTTATAACATTTAATGAGGATTACTATTCCTATTTTATAGGTGAGGAAATTGGCATAAAGAAATTAAGCAAATAGCCCATAATTTACTTTTATAAAACAAAACTAGTCAGATCACTCTAGATCTAAGTCCCTTGGCCTTAGGCATGCAGTAAGGTCAGCAGTTGTGCTGCTTGGTTTTTAGAAAGACTACATTTGGCTGTGAAGGCTATCATTCCATATGGGCACATGAGTACCATCCATATATTGACCAAAGTGAACGCTAAAATGTAATTAAAGAAATTATTCCTAAACTTATAAAGATAGGATGGCAACACAGAGCATTAATTATTTGCATGATTTGTACAAATATTGATGCCAAGAACTAATGCACAGATTTCAACCCAGTTACACAACCTAAACTCCATTTGACAAGATCCCTTCCCCCACTTGAACTTAAAGCCTACATTCTGATAATGTAGGATATGCTGTTTTATTTCTTTATATGCAGAGGAAACATTTATAAACTGCCAGTAGGAGGTTTTATGTCAAGAATTTTGCTTATATTGTAGATCATTGGATACCTCAGAATTCCCTTTTCTCAACATGTCATCATACATTTTTCTTCCCATAGTGATGAAAAGAAGGTACTTGCTTAATGATAACACTAAGATATTCCCATAATGAAGTTGAATGTTGATTTCTATTTGGTTTTCATAGCTTTACAAATAGTTTTGGAGCACTATCAGAAACGGGTAATAGTCCCTCCCATTAAATGATGGAGAATTCAGAAGTTTTAAGAATATCCCTTGGTGGTTATTTTGCAGTGGGAAGAGGATAGAATGAATGTGTTAAAAGAGGACTGTTTTTTGGGCCGGCCTGGTGGCGCACTCGGTAGAGTGCGGCGCTTGGGAGCATGCTGGCGCTCCCGCCGAGGGTTCGGATCCCATATAGAGACCGGTCCGCTCACTGGTTGAGCACGGTGCGGGCGCGACACCGAGGGTTGCGATCCCGTTACCGGTCACGAAAAAAGACAAAAAGGAAAAGAAAAAAAAAGAGGACTGTTTTGGATCTCATCAAGGATCCAGATAAATCAAGGAAATACAGAGAAAGCCTAATTTTCTTTTGTTATAGTTGTGTGTGTATATGTAGGAAGGAGTTGTTTCTTATTAGTTTATTTTATTTTGCCAAAGCAGAAGGAATGGAACAAACCAAACATTAAAGTTCCTATAACACAGGTAGTTTTCACAAATCTGACAAGGATCATGGTAGTTTCTACATTTAGACTATTTACCTTTTCTTTGCTTTCTCCACTTCAAACTTATTATATATGCTTTTTAGATTTACTGTGTGATCTAGAAGTCTTAAAAAACACAGTCTTTGTATTTTGTGTTTTCTAGGCAGAGGAAGAAGGTTATTTTGAAGCATTCAGAAATGAACTTGAAGCTTTCAAGTCAAGAGTAAGACTTTATTCTCAATCACAAAGTATTCAACCTATGACGGTTCAGAATCATGTTCCCCATTCTGGTGTTGGATCTATAGGTTTATTAGAATCCTCACTGCAGGTAAGTTGGAAAAGTAAATATTTATTTTTAAACATATTAGATAATTTTTGGTCTCTCATTAGAGAGACATCAAATCTCATCTCCTTTTCACGTAGAAAAGATGAATTGGACCTAAGCATTCTTACGTGGCAAGGGTTACCTTTTAATCATCTCAGTCATAAACTCAAGATGGCTCCTAAGGAACATCTCATTCCGAGTAGAACTATGCCGTTATTTTTTAGGATGAATTAGCTTCAAAGCATATGTGCAAGTGGTAACCAAGGTGACCTGTTGCATGAGTTTATTTAGTATTATCTTGTTAAATGTTGGTGTTGCCTACCAGATGTAGCATTTTTAGTACACATTAATGTAACTGATAATATTATATCTGGTAATATTGGCCAAATGTTTGAGCCTCTTTGAAGTCTGCTGTTAGATCAAGATAAAACCATGTCACCAGCATGAAAGAATATACATCAAAAAGAAAAGGGATCAGACCACTGGTCTGCCTCATACTACTTAGGATTACAATTTTAAATATTATTAGACAGTTCCTGCCCATTTTAGTAGAGCCCAGTCATCTCTCATGTCCATGCTCCAAGATTTTAAGACCAGCTTTAACCAGTTTAGTCTGGTGTGTACATTGTGAGAAGAGAAGTCTCATTCAGAAGATAAAGGTCTTGTATTCATTTTTAAACCTCATAAAGTGGTAGAATTGAGATTTTGCAGTATCTTGACCTTACATCACTATAATTTCACTATTCCAATTACATGCATTATAGACCCTTTAAGGAAAGTAATTGATCATATTTAACTCGGTCAAAAATATTATTCTCAAAGATGGAAATAATTGGTAAAGCTCTGATTTTTAAATAATTAGTAATGCTCCCCCTTAGTTTGACATGAAGGAATATTACCCATACAAATTCCCTACAGATAGTCTCTTAATATTATTTAAATACAGTGATGATTTATAGCACTTACATTGTATTAGGTATTATAAGTAATGTAGAGATGATTTAAAATATACTGGAGGATATGCATAGGTTATATCGCAAATACTACTCATCTGTGGATTTTGGTACTCACAGGGCTGTGGGGTGTGTGGAGGCATGGTCCTAGAACCAATCCCCTGCTGATACCAAGGGATGACTGTACAGTACTTTGTGATTCCTTTATTGTAAAAGCGAAAAGCTAGCTAGAATTTGAATTATTTCCAATCAGATCTTTATGAAGGAAGTTGGCACAAATAATTGACTGAGGTCTGGGACACTCTCACTAGACCTCAGTTCTAATCCTGCCTCTATTTAGTAATGCACTCTTCAAAGAGAAAAAAATTAATCACAATTGAATAAAATTAAAATCTAGTCAATAGGATAAACATAAAGAACTGTTACTTATATCTGTGTCCAAGAGGCCTTAGTTGAGTTCTCTCAAAACTAAGATAATAGTACAGTATTCATGGGGGTATTGGTTCCAGGACTCCTCCTCTCCCCAATACCAAAACTCATGGATGCTCAAGTCCCTTATGTAAGATGGTATAGGGTTTGCACATCCTCCCATATACTTTAAATCATTCCTAGATTAGTTATAATACTTAATACAATGTAATGCTGTGTAAACAGTTGTTACACTGTATTATTTGTAATTTTTTATTGTTGTATTGTTGTTTTTTAATGTTTTGATTTTCTTTTTCCTAAAATATTTTCAGTCTGCAGTTGGTTGAATTGCAGGTGCAGAACACATCAATATAGAGGGTTGACTGTATTAGGAGGATCTTTTGAAAACCTTGCCTCGCTGTGGGATGAGGAGGTTTAGGACATCTATCCCATTTGGACTATTTTGTCCATTGGTATTTATTAAATAAAATAAACGTAAATGAAACTAGGTGATTTTTATTAGTTGTAAAATCTAAGTAGCTAGCAGATATTCAGAACAACCGAGTAGACAAAATTGAATTCTTGGGGAAAAATTTCCCAAAGTCCTGTATCTTAAGGCCTTATGGTCTTATTCACGGTGCTTTAACAAATAATAATTTTATTTTTGTATTTATCGAATGTTTTATTTTTCTGTTCCTTGTTTTAGAAATGAGCACACATAACATTTAGGAGTTGTCTTTCTGTTTAAAAAATAAAACCTAAACTGTTCTTTATTCTCAATTTTTAAGATATGGATCTAAGTACCTCAAAAGATTAAAGATCTCTTGCTTGAGTTTGTTTTAATTTTTGGGAAACCAAAATAGACCCTGAAGATAAGTATAATTTTTACTCAGGAAGTGAATTTTTTTCTTTATTCAAATGTTTTACATTTTTAGTATTTACTGTTGTAATTAGATAGTAATCTTAAATATCCATTGCCGGCTCAATGCCATATTTATCATGTAAACTCTCAGTAGCTCTGTACATATAATCACATGGAAAATGTAGCCTTGTATGATTAAACAATTAAAATTATAGTTTTGTTAAAAGGAAAAGAAAGGTGGTGTTTATTACATTTGTTTTTTCACATATATCATTGTTTTTATCAGAATTTTTATCAGAATGTTATTTGGATTAAATAGCATCCTATTTTTTTCCTTCCTTATTTTGGGTTTCAGCCTGAGTCTGACTACAAAGTCCATCTTTCCTACTGTACTACACTGTAGAGAAACAGAGAATGTGAAACTGAGTATGTAGTTGCATATACTAGCATGAAACTGGTTATCATGCATTTTTCCCCCTACTTTTTTTTCCCTCCAGAATCCAGATTATCTTCAGTATTCTATCAATACAGCTCTCTGCAATTTAAACTCAGTGGTACATAAAGATGATGATGAACCCAAAATGATGGACACTGTATAATTTGGTTAAGACTGCTGAGGCCAAGTGCTATTTTGTTACAAGAAAGGAAGAACTTGGCTATTTTCTTGACACTTTTATGGGTGCTGCACTTTATTTTTGTTCGGTTTTTGATGGGAGGGAAAGAAGAGTACTGAAACGTTTTGTAACATTTTTTTTTAATGTGCTGCTAAGGTTGTTTTTTTTCTGAAGAGGAGTGGTACCATATGTTGCAGGAAGTCAAACTGGACTGGTTTTTTGTTTTTTGGTTTTTTTGGCTACTAAATTTGCCTTTAATCTTACTGTTCTTAATTATAGAATCAAAGTATGAAAATCTGCACAAATGCAATGTTTACAAGAACTGGTTGATTCTAGAAGCATCTGCTACAGTCTCTTTTTATATGGATATGTACATGTCCTACTCTACAAAAATGATTAAAGATAAAAATGTACTTGTATCCCACTGCTAATTTAGCTGTCAAATCTGGTGTTTCATCATATTAAAAGCAATAAATCAGTAGTTGGTAATCTACTTTACTAAATAAGCTGGGTGGTACAAATTTTAAAAAGTCTTTCCTCTCAAAATAATACTATATTTGTATTTTCGGCACCATCAGTTAAATCCTTGAATGTAATATAAATTTGATACAAAGACATTACCTTTACCCTCAAAATATTCCCAAAACTGTATTCCTTAGAAGTTGGTTTTGCCCTGTAGACATTTTAATATTAAGAGTTATAGTGATATAAAAAGTGATGAGCTAATATAGTTTTTTTAAAAAAAATTTTTTTAATAAAATCAATTTCAAGCTCACTCTTAATTTCCTTACTTGACAGTCTGGGATCTCTCAGGTGGTAAGTTTTAAAAGAATACCAATGGCCTGAAAGAATAAACAGGAAGAATAATCTGATCTTTAAAATTATGATTATTGAGGGCCGAGCCCGTGGTGCACTCGGGAAAGTGCGGCGTTCGGATCCTATATAGGGATGGCCACTGCACTCACTGGCTGAACGCGGTGCAGCCCGTCTCAAAAAAAAAAAAAAAGAAAAAGAAAAAAAAGAAAAAAAAATTATGATTATTGATCGTTTCACTCTAATGTAGCCTTTTAAAAAAGGACTCTTTTTAAAAAGGACATTTCTAAAAAGCAAGTGAAATCTTGTAAACTACCGTGAGCTGCCAAATACTTCTAAGAATTTGGTAACTTTTATTGTTAATGATAGTTTTTACTACATTTGTCATTCCTCTCTTTAGCTCTGTTACCATAGAATGTTTCTGAGGTATACTACTTCCTGTATTCACTTCAGGTCACATCAAAATGCCAGGATATTTGATGATTCATTTTATTTAAAATTAGATGACAGTGCTAATTATGCTATCATAATCTGAGGATTAATCTTCTGATTTATAGGAACATGAGTTTTGATTGCATTTGGGTATAGTCTTTGGCTCAGTACCCAATGAGACTAGCAGCAGACATTTGAAAGATAACTCACTAAGACTGAGAATACATGTCCAAACTTGAAAAACCAAATATGCTAAGGGACCCATGTGGTGATCAGACTTGTGACCGTGGTCTCATTTGTACCTGTTTTAACTGAGGTGATCAGGTACTTAGTACCCATAGAAGTGGGTTGGAATTATTGAATCATACTTCTGTGACATCACAATCTTCTCGGTTTTCTGAAAAAAGTCTTTTTGTGCTTTTGATGTATACACTATATAATAAAATGTTTGACTAACATATGATAGTATTCATCAGCTTCTAATTTTTTTTTAAACAATGAATTAATCATATAAGTTTTTTTCTCTTTCTCTCTTTTTTTTTTTTCCTCTTCTGGAGCAAACTCAAGAGAATGGATACAGGAGCCAAATCCCTGGTTTCACAGAAATGTCACTTGCACCATTATTTTTCATTCCTTCACGTTCACTTTTTCCCAGGACTTGCCTATAAGCATCCAAATTGCTTTGAATTTCGTTTTGCCTTCTTTAAGTTAGAGATATTAATGACTGAAGACTGGCAGGAGAAAGAGTATTGGCAAACTGAGTAAACTATTACTGAAGGGTTTTTTGTTTCTGTTATCTAAAACAGGGATTGCTGAAGAGTTGGTTCTTTCAAATTTGACTATATTTTTTTACCTTCAGGAGAAGTGTTCTGTGCTTTGAGTGTCTGTGAAAGTGTGGTTGATTTTGTTTTAGGAACCACTGACCGATGCCATAATTTGCACTTAAATACTATAACTTTTACATATTTAGCAGTACTTTCGTACTAAGAACAGTAAATTGACATCCTTCCTATTTTTCATTACTTTGCTTTAGTACTAAGAAGTAACTCCTATCAAAAGAAATGTCCTTTTCTGTTTCTTAAGAAATATACTAAGTACAGTGATTATATTTCAGGTTAAATTAAACCATGGTGAGTTCAAACAAATGAGTGGAACATCTTTGACATTAAAGTATCCATCAAAGATTCTTGTTTCATTTGGTAAAATTAATCTTTTAATAAAAGATTTTTTTTTTTAATCAAATAGCTGTCACTCCATTTATTCTTTAACTTGGTGTCATTTTGTTAAGGGTGGGTGGAGATAATACTGATTTAAAATTATTACTCTAAGATAGATGGGTAACATCCTCTTCCAATTACAATATTAAAGGACCCTTTCAAATTTTGCCTTAATGAACTCACAGTCTCCTATAACTTCTTTTGAAAAATCAGGCCTTCTTTCAGACTAGCACTCATGTTACTCTTTTGAAAGCAAATTAATTTGTCCAAAGAATATAAATCTGTTTAATTGGATTTTCTTACAGGATGAAAAAACTTATTTTGGGTTTTAGGCAAGGTGATCCTGAAGTTAACCTTGGGGTATCTGCAGCAAAAACCAAAAATGTCAATTTACTGTTCTCAAAGTAAGTCATGTTTTTCAGTTCTTAGACTGATGACAGACGTGGTACTTGTTTTGGTTGAAGTTAGGCTTTCCATCAATTTTGGTGCTGTATCATATGTGTTTTAATAAGATCCTTAAATCCTATGCATCCATTTGCCATCTGTAATAGACATGTATGTACTGTTTCATAGGTCTTCTGAGAAGCTGATTCATCTAATAAGTGTTTGCTTACTATGTAAGCTAATGTGGTTGGGGTGGGGTGGACACAAAGATGAATAAAAGTTGATCATGGATTGCTTACCACCTAATAATGAAGTTGGAAACATTCTCATAAGCCTTGAAGAATTAGACTTGAAGTTTGGTCTTTTCTAAATACAGAGAGTGATTTTTTAAATTCCCATATCTTTCCCTTGGGTTCATTAAAAGTATGATTCTTTATGCTATTTAGTCTTCAAAACTTACTGGAATCTTTTGGGAAAACATGACATAATGCTGGACTGATTTATACTTTGGCATGACAATTTAACTTTACTCAGTGCTTTATATGGAAAAACTGGTGATCACTTAGTGAGCTAAAAAAAAAAAAAAAAAAAAAAGGGAGGGG